AGGTATTCCTAAACCTCCATTATAAGGGATGCGTGCAGCAGGGCACACACTCTATTGTTTTTCCACAAAACCTGACACTGGGTTGGAGATTCCATCTCGCCCAAGACACTATGGAATCTCCATAATAAGTGGAGGAGGATAATACTCCCTTTTTTAAAGGGGAAAGGCACATTATTGACCTATTATAATCTGTAGGTCATAAACAGAAAGTGAGAAGTTGGTGTAACTGGTGGCTGTCACAAGGATGGTCATCAATTGGTATATTAAGTATAGAAGATGCAAGAAGAATGCACTAATTACAACTATGGACTTTTTATCATGGATGATAACATTACTATGTGGATATGCAAATGTTTAAAGGGGAGTATTAGGCTAAGTAGAAAGCTTGTATATAATTAAGTTTGTTATATACTGTATATTTGTTATTGTGGATATTATTTGGTAGTAGAAATTTTCCAGCAAACAGGAACTTTTTTATATTTTTTATTTTTTTAACAAAGGACACAGTGCTTCAACATTTATTTTTCATATGGTGATTGGGTGAGTGGTACACTAAACGGAGAGAGCAACAGCTAAACACAACACATATAGGGACAAGGGGATTTTGAAATACCCTGTCTATGCAATCACTCTGTATGCAGGTGTAGGGGTATTTCAAAACCCCTCCAAGCGGCGTTCCACACTCTTAATCCTTAACCTATTTGAGTCTTCTTAATTTTGTATCTCATGTATAAGGATCAAAAAATCTTCCGTTTCACCAATTTATGCTAAAAAAACAAAGGAGATTCAGTGCAGATTCATGGTGCAAAACTATTAAGAACAATTGTCAACTTTATTTAATAATTAAAATATCACTCGCATTACTTGTGTGTGCCTGCGGAGCCGATGACGTCATGACACTACGAGACTGGACGTCCTAGACCATAATTGAGTTTCTGTCTGCTCAGAGCTTGGCCACATGGATAGAACAGAGAGAGTCCTTCAGATAAGTTTTGCACTAAATCCAGGAGTATTCCAAAGGCTTTCCAGCACCCCATCCAAGTTCAATCAGTAATAGAGCCTGAAAATACATCTGCTGCCTGTTTATTGTGAGAGGCTGTGCAAGTGTTGTGTACTTGTCCATCTGGGGACACAGAAGGGAATAGAACCTGAGAGGAAACAGCTGGACCAATGCATTAATTACAACTGTGAGACTTTTTATCACAGATGATAACACGTATGTAGTGCAGGAGTTTAAATTGGAGTATTAGCTCAAGTGAAAAGCTTTTATATAATTACATTTGTAATATACTGTATATTTGTTATTATGGATATTATTTGGCAGTAGAAATTTTCCAGCCTATGGGACAAATTTTGTATTTTGTATTTTGCTACAATGTAAAGTAGTGAGTGTACAGCTTGTATAACAGTGTAAATTTGATGTCCCCTAAAAATAACTCAACACAGCCATTAATGTCTAAACCACTGGCAACAAAAGTGAGTACACCCCTAACTGAAGATGTACAAATTGGGCCCAAAGTGTCAATATTTTGTGTGGCCACCATTATTTTCCAGCACTGCCTTAACTCTCTTGGGCATGGAGTTCACCAGAGCTTCACAGGTTGCCACTGGAGTCCTACATGATGACATCACGGAGCTGGTGGATCTTAGAGACCTCGCACTCCTCCACCTTCCATTTGAGGATGCCCCACAGAGGGTGAATCTCCTTAACGGGGATACAGACAGCAATTAAAAACTGATAGGAGTTCTAATCCATATGCACTCTATCCAAAACTAAAAAAAAAAAATTGCCTTTAATTATACTTTAACTAACAGAGCTAACAAAAATAATATTTTTTAAACCATCTTTTTGAATCTCATTAATTTTCTTTTTCCATGAATTCTTTGTTTTTCTGTGTAACTTGGGATTCGTGGCTATGATTACAACAGGGCTGAGGGCAGAGTAGGAGGCAGCAAGAAGTATCCGGATGTCATTCATTTCTGGGCTCACACTGGAAAGTGACAATGTATAAATCCACATAGAGTTATCCATACCATATAAAAGAACATACAGGATAACTAACAGAATCACTGCTCTAGTTGCTCTGTACTCTACAGATGAGCTTTGATTCCGGTCAGAACTGCGTATATGTTTAATCATTTTCCCATGTTGGTATAAAATAAATACCATGTAGCTGCTTGATAGTGTCATCATTCCCACAAATATGATTTCCCGAATGACAGATACTAGACCATTAAGCAAGAAAGAGATATATGTTGAAAAATCTGCATCACAATAAACCAGATGAAGTGAATATGGGGAAGTATGATTTGATTTTGCTTGTCCATACAAAACAGTGGAAGGGTAGAGTGAAATGTTTATGCCGAAGATTAAAATCATGATAAGAGATACATTTCTACTTAATTTTTCTTTTAAGGAAATCCAATATCTCTTGGTAGAAGTAACAAGGACACATTGATGACAACTGAGAAAACTAGTGACACAGATACACATAGCCCTACTCACTCTGTAAGTAAAAAGAACTAGTTTGCATTTGGTGTCATCTAGTAAATCTTCCACACCAATTGCATTAAGAGCTTGTGGTATGACACGGGAGAACACTACAAGAAGATTTGCCAAGGCAAGGACCATTAAGATGGTGTTGGCTGGTAAGAGTTTCTTCTCAATTACTCTGATGTAGGTAAATTTTAATAAAATAAAGATGTTTCCAGGAATTCCAACCACCATAATGAGAATGAAACCAATGGCTTTGATAAAGAGACGAGCCTCCATGTCACTATCCTGCAGCAAGTATTGACCTTGACAAAAAAAACAAAACAAGGAAATGACCAGTTAAAATATGTTATGGCTTTCAGGATATTTATATTTTAGTACAGTAAATAACTTACAGTTTTACGCTGAACAATATGAAAGTGTAAAAATGACAAAACTGGCAACATGTTGTAGCTTTTGTAAAAAGAGTGAAAATCCTTTGGTGGTGACACTAAACAGTATTTAGAACTACGGATAACTAGGGATCAATTTGTGGGAGGGTTTGGAAAAGCCAAATATAGAGGTGAATCCTAATAAAGTCTATAAGAGGTGAATCTTGTTAGTAAGTTATGGCCATTTTTAGTGCTAATAGGCAAACTACTGAAAAAAGACATGGGGAACTGAAACTATCATGGGGCAGAAGTTATAATGCTAAATAATTAGGTAAATAAAATACTGTTAAGCAGCTTCAAGGGCAACAATGAAAATTCATAAATCCTTAACAATTCTAAAAGTTCATTTCTTTTTTTTTAAATAGCAAACATGTCTATACTTACTTACTATATGCAGTGGTTTGGCATAAAGCAGCCTGGATGCTCCTCTTCTCGGGTCCCCCACAGGCTGTCCTGGCTCTTCCTGTCTGTTGGGTGCCCCCCACAGTAAGCAGCTTGCTATGGGAGTACCCGGTGCTCCGTGTGTCCATTCACACATGCAGCCGTGGTTTGGCCATGCCCCTCTCTCTCCTCATTGGCTGACTGGCTGTGATTGACAGCAGTGGGAGCCAGCAGCTCCCACTTGCTATCTTAGCCAATGAGGAGGCACTGACCCGGGACAGCCAAGGCTGGCATTCACAGCACTGGATCACGATAAGGGTCAGGTAAGTATTGAGGGGGCTGGGGGAGTTGCTGCACACCGAAGGTTTTTTACCTTAATGCTTAGAGTGCATGAAGGTAAAAAAACCTTCAGCCTTTACAACCACTTTAAAATAACTTGCTTAGCGGATGCCATAAAGCAGTACGTTATGGAACAGTACAATGGAGCAATGCTGTTTTCACAGACATTCTCAGTAACAGTGTTTTCACAGACATTCTCAGTATAAACTGACAGCACATGTTTAGATGTGGAATTGATTTTTTTTTTTTTTTTTACAATTAGCTTGACTTGGTTTGCATGCAAGAGCAGCACCCCAATCTTATTTTTTCTAGTTTGGAAAAAAGGCTTTTCTCAGGTAGCTTTAGCAGCGACACGTGTTTCTTCATCATAAAGTAGTGGACCCACTTTGACCCGAAGATAAAAATGGGCCAGTAATGTGCTGAGGTTGTCCCTATTCTTTCTAATGTAAAACTATCAATCCACTGTCCAGTTTCTATTAAACTCTCATTAGGAATAAAGAGACTACAGATGATACAGCAGTGTAAAATTGGACAGGAGTAAGATAGTTTTAATGAGAGAGAACTGGCTGAAATATACTCGAGACAAAGGGGTTTATTAACTAAACGCAAATAGGTGGTTTACTTTGCTAGTGATTTTTGATTTTGCGATTCATTTTCCCTTAGCTTAGTGAATGAGGTAAAGCACTGCTGACTTGCATCATCAAATCATGTGTGAGCAAAAAAAATACTGTTTTTTTTTATTTTTCTTGTACATGAAGTTTTCTTTACAAATTGAATATTTACCACATTCACTAAGCTCTTGGGAAAATTCCACTGTAAAATGAAAAGCCTGTTAAGTTTTAGTACATCAATCACAAAGAGTGAAAGCAGATACTTTACTACAAGCATTAACAATCTGCAGAGGACTCCGGCAGGTGGTTACAGTTTTACAAGAATTAAGAGACCAATGATACAGCAGTGTAAAATTGACCACTGGCATGACAATTGTCATGAACTAAGCAGTTAATGTGATTAATAAAATATAAGGTAGTCTAGGTGCACCCTATTTCAAATGTGCACAGAATGCAGCTCTAAGAACAAGTGAATGCTGTTCTTTGCAGACCTCAAAACACCCTATCAACATAAAATAAAATATAAACCTCTGTTTGTTAACCACCTCCCATCCGACCGTGGTATATAAACGACTGGACGGTGGCAGTGCAGGGGCGGGTGGCCATTTATAAATGGCCTCCCCGCCCCCTGCTTGTACTCGCGCCTTGGGAGCACGCAGCACCGCGATCCGGTGCCCGCTGTATCCTCAGGACACAGTGGAACATCGATCGCCGTACGGGATCTCTGTGTGAGGTCTTGATCATGTGATCACTGATTGGCCAATTAGTGATCACATGAAGAGTAGTAAGCAAGATGTCACTTCTGACATCATTGCTTACTACCAGCGGTGGACTGACAACTCATGGGGCCCCTGGGCAATGGGGGATCATGGGGCCCCTGTGTCCTTGCCCAAACTCAAAAAAGCCTATGAAAAAAGTACCAGGGGCATCTCATGGGGCCCCCTACTGACCCCGGGCCCTCGGGCAGTGCCTTAGTTTCCAAATAGTCAGTCCACCCCTGCTTACTACGTGTGAAATCTGTAAATGATCACAGAGGTCACATGGTACAAGGCTATTCACAACAGCCTTGTGCCATGTGACAAGCTGTGACCAATCACAGGTTACACAGTATTTCTCAATGGCTGCAAGAATGCAGCCAGAGAAAAGGAGAAATTATTGCTTTTACAGCCTTTATGGGTGTAAAAGCCATCAGTTTAAAAAAAATAAATACATCTTCATCACCCCCCACAAGAAGTGTGCTAAGGTGACAGTATGTAAAAAAAAGAAAACAAACAATAATATAAAAAAAATAAAATGAAAATGTAAAAAAAAGTTTTAAAAATTATCATTTTTGGGTTATATTTATAATTTGGGTATTTATTTTTTTTTACTAAGAAGATTACTGAATAAACTTTGGCCAAGATTTATGATGAAATATTATTTATTTGCAAAATTTTATAAGAAAAACGCTTTTTTTTTTCAAAAATTTTGGACTTTTTCATTTATATAGCAAAAAAAAAAAAAAATCCCAGAGGTGAATAAATACCACCAAAATAAAGCTTTGTTTGTTTCAAAAAAATGCTAAAAAATTCATATGGGTGCAGTCTTGCATGACCGTGCAATTGTCATTCAAAGTGTGATAGCGCTGAAAGCTGAAAATTGGCTTGGACAGGAAGGGGGTAAAAGTGTCCAGACTTGAAGTGGTCAAGTCTGGACATTTTGTTTCATCATGTTCGTTATGTTAGAGTGATTTGATTTCAGAATGTGTTTCATATATTTGGATTTGTTTCATATATTCATTATTTTCAAACTGATTAGAAATTAGAATTTTGACATTAGAATTTCAGAAAACAGCTAAATTTGTTCTATTCTGCTCTAATATATTCTATTTTTTCGATTTTATTTTATTCTATGCTTTTATTTTCTAACCTGGAATAACAGAAATCTTGTCTGAATTTTGATTCGTAATGAAACTAATCGTATATGTCTACCTCCAAAAGAAATAAAAACCCCAAATATGACCCACAACTTTCTGTAAGGAATGCCTTGTAGAAAAAAATCAGTTTAACCTGGAAAAAGGCCCTAATAACATGCAATAAAACAATATAACCCCCCAAAAAATACCCCCTAATACAAAAGACAACTTTTTAAACTTAAGCCTTGCTGCAAAAGAAGGCCCTATCAACACAAATTAAAAAACATACCCCCAAAAAAATATAACCCCCCAAATAACATCACACTAAAACAAAAGCACATGTTTATGTAAAGGGAGGTCTTGTAGGAAATAAATACAAAGTTTAATATAGAAAAGTGACAGCTGACCTCAAATTAACCATTAAAAAAAATTAAACACAAACTAAAGTACAGTTTCCTAACTAAACCATATCTGTTTGTCAGCTTTCTCTATGTTTTTCCTACAGCAGCCTGCAGTACACTGAGACTAGGGTTGCGCTTGGCCCCCCTCTCCCCTTTTGATAGTTAAGTGACTCACTTATCCAAAAGCTCCTTTATTAGTCTTTCTATGTATGGTAGCCATAGTTTAAAGGCCATGATGTGATTTATGGTTTAAAAAAAATTCTCCAGGTTGAATCCACACATAAATTCACCAGGACCATGAAAGCATTGTTGGGTCTATGCACTGGGAAGGGGAAACACAATAATTTGTAGTCCAGCACGCTGAAGTTCACAGTAATATAGCACAATGTAGCACAATATTTGACTGTTTGTAGTGCTTATAGTGCTGTGTAGCAGCAACTAATCCTCGCTGATCACACTCTTCCAGCTGCCCCTATCTATTGGAACACACACTGGCACACACTGACTGACTGCTCAAAAGCCTGCATTTTATAGTGTAGGGACTGGCATATAAAAAAGTCTAAATTTTTGGCCCTAAGCCACATGGCCATTGTTCAAAGGCTTTGAAGTGCATTGTTGGTAGTTGATTGTTATGGCAGTTAACAGCTGCATTAGGTTACCATTTCTGTGAACTACGAATAAGTCAGGCTCCTGTTGAACCCATGCTGAACCCAAACATTAACCCTATTTGAGATCTGTAAATTCTAACTTGAACCAGAGTGAAGTTTATCTGATGCACGTCTTATATAAAGCACAATGTTCCACAGCCTGTCTTTATAAATCTTCTGGGAGCTGCTGATAGGATTAAACTCCTTTAGGTTAAGAACTGAGCAGATAACATAACATAATTACAAATTAAAACATGGTATGCAACCAGATATGTCATGTTCTCTTGAATATGCTGATGACACAATAGACATTTAGAAGATAGCAGTCCATAATTTCACTAGAATTTAATAAAATGGCTTTTTTTCCAAAAATGAGTAGCATTGTGATTATGAATTGAAATAAGATCTTAGTTTTACTACAATGCTTAATAGATAATGAACAACAGAATGAGATAATACAGTAATAAAAGTGGCCTACATCAAGATTGTGAAACTAGTACTTTTGGCCACATAAAACCTTCTTATTTATTAAAAAACATTACAGAATTCATATTAGGCTACCAATTATTAGGGACTGTACCTCTTTTGGAACCATATGTTTCTCTTTCCTCTTCAGTTGTCCCTCTTGTTTGGTCTGATGTATAGACACTATTTTAAAAATAGTTTTTATCTACTGCACTAAAGCTTTCTTCCAACCTATTAGATATTACATTTTTGTTATTTTGGAAAACAAAAAACAATATAAAGCACTTGCAGGTTTAACCAATACTTTTTTACACTTAACTTGGCAGTGTTGAAGACGCGTAGCCTTTATCTACATAATTTTCACTAAAAGATGCCCCTCTTTCTCATCTCAAGAAGTTGGAATACAACTATACAAGCATCTAGGGGCAAGGTAGGCTCACTTTCCATTTGTGCCTGTTGAGTTCAGCAGGCATTTGTATTCAGCTGTGAGACCTACTAATATTACCACTTTGCTAATATTCTATTTACTCTGTTGTAAACTCTCAATATTGAATACTGGTTCTTGAAAGCCTCAAATTCATAGAATTTCAATATTTTTTGGACTGTGTTTTAGGTAATGGTACAAAAAAAATAAAACTAAGCCTTTTAATTAATCATTTAAATAAATCCCACCATGCTACGTATTTTTGTAACAGTTTAAATGTATTTTTCATTAATAGAGAATTCCAGACCACACATCCTAGCTACAGGCCAAGATTTGGACTTTCTCTCTTTGTCTCTCTATGGCACACACAACAAACACACAGCACTTGAAGGGCCCTGGCCTCCTGCATACCTTTAGCCATGTTCCCTCTATAAACTGCTTTTAACCACTTGACCTCCAGGAGATTTACCCCCCTTTTCTGACCAGGCCATTTTTTGCTAAATGGCACTGCCATACTTTAACAGACAATTGCACAGCCATGCACTGCTGTACATAAATGAAATTTATGCCCTTTTATCCCACAAATACAGCTTTCTTTTGGTGGTATTTGATCACTTCTGCAGGTTTTACTTTTTGCGTTATAAACAAAAAAATACTGACAATATTGAAAAAATTTATATTTTTTATTTCTACTATAAAACATATCTAATAAAAAAATGTTAAAAACCTAATTTCTTCATAAATATAAGCAAAAATGTATTCTGCTACATATTTTTGTAAAAAAATCCCAATACGCTTATACTGATTTGTTTGCGCAAAAGTTATAGTGTCTACAAACTATGGGATTTTTTACTTTTTTTTTTTTTTATACTAGTAATGGCAGCAATCATTGACTTCAGGACTGCAATATTGCGGCGGACATTTTTACACTAACTGACACTTTTTGGGAACCGGTAACACTAATAGTGATCAATGCTAAAGATATGCACTGATCACCGTACTAATGACACTGGTTGGGAAGGGGTTAACATCTAGGGTGATCAAAGGGTTAAATGTGTGCCTAGTTATGTGCTTGGTGTACACTAGAATTTTTTTCAATTTAGAAAAAAAAAATTTTTTAGATATTGCAAATAAAACAGTATTGTGAGACCACATCAGCACAGCAAGAGCTATAGAAAATGAAAGAAACAAAAATGGTAACTCACATTTTGGCAGCTATAAAAATGAAATGATACATTTTGGATAACCTACACTATATTGCCAAAAGTATTGGGACGCCTGCCTTTGCATGCACATGAACTTTAATGGCATCCCAGTCTTAGTCCGTAGGGGTCAATATTGAGTTGGTCCACCCTTTGCAGCTATAGCAGCTTCAACTCTTCTGGGAAGGCTGTCCACAAAGTTATATTTCTGTTCTCCTCTGTTATTTAAGTTACCTCTGTAATCCAAGTTCTTCTTTGAGGTTGATATGTTTAAAAGGCTACACATTTCTACTGTATTTATACCCTAGAAGACATGCCACTGGGACTAATTAATATATGGCTACTGAAACCTCAGCAGACATTGATTTCCTTAATATGAAATGTCATGTAGGAGATTTCAATCAATACGGTTTTAACAGATTCTTTAGTCACAGTGTCAAAATCATATTAAAAAAAATCTATACAATACATGCTCTCAGAAAATTTGCACACTATGGCATGCTTACCTTGTAAATAGTGATGAGCCAAACATTTAATTTTGGGTTTAATTCAGGGTGGATTCAGCAAGAATTACCTAAGTTAATGTGAACCAAATCTTAGATATCAGAAATAGCCATTTTCTATGGTAATAGGCAAAAGATTGTCAAACAAAGGGCATGGGTAGCCCGGCACTGTCCTGTCCTGAATGTACAAAAGCAAAAAATAAATAAGCCCTGGGTGGCTGTCATATGACTTCCTCCCAGGATAGTGCCTCACACATGCCCCAGAGGCCAGGCTGTGGTGCGATCTGCTACTGTGTCCAGATCAGTGTACCTTGCTGCTGCTAGTACCATGTGATCGCTGTGACTAATCATAGAAGATCACATGG